AAGGCGACTTGATGGACATAAAAAATTATCGTCCAATAACCTTGCTCATAGCTGTCTACAAAATGCTAGCAAAAGCCTAGGCAAACCGCTTGATCCCGGTTTTGGAGGATCTCATCCACCCGGCACAGACTGGGTTTGTCAAGGGACATAGGGTCCACAACAATATTTTGCTGGTCAACGAGATCCTCAAGTTAACAAGGCAAGACAAGCATAACGCTCCAGAGGTCTTCATCGACTTTGAGAAAGCATATGACCACGTGGACTGGACCTTTTTAGATAGATGCATGCAGAAAATGAATATTGGTTCAATCTTTCGACGCTGGACCAAGATACTACATCGTAACACCACTACGAGCATTCATGTCAATGGATTGATGGCACTGGTAATCTTGCATAAACGGTCGATCCACCAAGGAGACCCCTTGACTCTTTTTCTATTCATAATTGTGATGGAGGCATTGACAGCGAACCTCCGCAATAACAAAGATCTTAGAAAATTACAGATCTCCGCCATTCCTGAGGAGGCGATCCCCGTATGCTCGATGCTCGAGGCTGACCTGACTATTATGGTGGACGCCACCCCCGACCAAGGGTGTGTCTGCCGGAACTGCCACGGGTCAAATGGTTATCGGAAAACGCCTCGGTTAGAGTATTAGGTGTAATGCTCACGACATTGGGGAAGCCTGCATTGAATGACGAATGGATCCTTGATTGGTAGGGCACTGACAATCAACAACGCAGTACTAGCAGCCCTCTGGTATAGGTCTGCGATTTGGGCCCTCAGTAAAGAAGCCGTTAAATCACTCTAGAGGCAAATCACCGCCCTGTTGTTGAGAGGCAATAGTGAGCTTCCAAATGTGATAAGTAGGGTGGCCTGGTCGTCGGTGATCCAGCCTAAAGACAAGGGGGGTTTGAGCATCCTAGACCCAAATACTCAGGTGGCTACGTTGTTGGTACAATGGGTCAGAAGATTGGTATTTACGCCAGATCTTCCTTGGTATACCCTTGCACTATAGCAAATTGCTCGACTTGCACCACAAGCGCCACAAGGTGTGGATCCCCTGACCTGGCTGGAGGACCGTTGTTGGTCCATACCACGGCGCCCTCGGGCTGACAGAGACTCCACCCGGGGCGCAACGAGGAACGACCTGGCCAGAGATGACTTCTGGCCTCGGGTGTTGAGGGTCTGGCGCTAGCCACCGTTGCCAGAAAAAATCCTGCCTCGTAGATGGGATGAGGTGATGAGGCAACCCGTCTTTGGCAACAAAAATATTACTGACAGAAATGGGAGGGTGCACCGTAGTTTGGAACCCCCAGGGAGCAGCTGGGTCAGAAACGGCATAGTGAGGATCAAAGATATATGGTACCCGACAAACAGAGACTAGAAAACGACGCCACAGTTGAGGGTCCAGCTGAGGTATTGCCATGATATTGAAAGGAGCTTAGAAACACTGATCTTTGATGTCTCTTTTGACTTGGTGCGTACTCTTCGAAAATGACCGCAGCTGGCAGAAGGAGACTGGGTCGTAGTCCGGACGACTTGGAAAGCGTTGGCCACGTGGTGGAAGTGCAGGCAGCCAAATCCTTGGTTAGCCTCTTCCATAATGGAAAGGGTAAAGCTCTCACCAGGCACACTCTGGACGCGGTAAGGTGGTGGAGGAACGAGGAGTTGCACAGAATCCGTGCACTGAGACATAAAGATGAATGAACCGCATTTCTCCCTGGAACCCCATTTGTTGAACTCCCCTTCGACCCGGAGGAGTGGGGCATTGGACGCCTGCACGAAGAACGCCAGCCAACCCGAACATAAAGTTCTTTAGTTTGTCAGTGAAGGTCAGTTACCGGCTGCTGCGGCCAAAGGTGAACCTAAAAGAGATTGTGAAAGCCCGCTGGATAGCCCACCTGAACTTAAGACAGGAGACCATCCGCCCTATCCGGTAGTTTTCAACCATGAGGTCCAAACTGGCCAAATTCGCCTCACTGCAGTCGCAAATAGATTACCGTTGCCTCCCTACAAATAATTGGTTGGTAGACCGTATGTACCTGGAACAGAAGGGTCTGACGCTCCCCTAGTGTAAATCCTGCCATAATGCCTTCCCCTCGAGTAAGATCCCGGAAACTATAGAATATGTTTTCCTACAATGCCCAGGGGCGGTCATTACTTGGAGTTGGTGGGATAGGATATGGAGCCTCCTGGGCATTGGATCGGCTTGGCCGTGGGACTGAAGGGCGCTGCTCTGTGAAGCATGGACCTCCCCCATGGACAACGATTTTGAAAACATGTTCAAGATCGGGAGGAGAGCGGTTATTTGGGCACTTTGGAGGAAGCACTACGCGCACGCCATTGAGGGAGTTCGCATATAGATGGACAGGAAGTCACAGAAATAATAAAACAGCATATACATCAAGAACTCTCACGATGGCAGAAGGTCAAGAACCAACTACAGATATATCACTCAAAGAAAGACATCACACAAACAATCAATTCTCAGGGGACTGGTTGGGTAGCGAAAAAGAAGGCTGGATTGCCTATATCTGATGGGAGGGTGGGCAATCTCCGGTTCAGGAGCAGGAAGAGTTTAGGAGGGCCTACTGCATCTGCTTCAAGGAATGGACTAAGGTGGACCAAGGAGTGCGGTTGCGCTCACCCTCAGAGTTCCCGGGCCCTTTCCCTCCCCATCAACTCTCTGGTGAACATGCAATGGTACGGTGCAGAGTAAGCGAAAGGACACAGGACAATGAGACGCTGGGTAGAGCAGCTTAAACTGCACTGGGGACGGGTGAATGCAGGTTGAAGAGACAGAGATGGTGCGGCATACTGCATAGCCACACGGGCCTGCAGGGCCTGTCCCGCATTCTCAGCCTAAAAGCCTAGAAATAAGGGCTTACAGGCCCCTGTCGTTTCAGCCTGAAAGACTGAAAAACGAGGGCCTGCAGGCCCTATGTCGTTTCAGCCTAAAACAGGGTTTTTCAGCCCTGAGGCTTTTCAACCTGAAACGGAGGGCCACGTTCGGGCCCTCATAAGATCGACCTGTCCTAACACTCAGGTACAAAACCAGGGTTTCGGGAACAGGCTATCTTTAACCTGTTTCCCACGACAGCCTCAAGCAGGAGCTGCAGCGGCAGCCTCTGACTCCTTGCGTCATTGGCAAGAGAAGCCTCCTGGACTGCCTCACCCTGCAGTCAGGAGGCAGGCCGAGTAGTACATAGGAAGTTCCCATGCACTTCACGATAGGTAGTTGGACAGTAGGCAGTAGTAGTCTTCAGGATTCGGCCGCAGCACTCAGGAGGAGCGCTG